ATCCTAACGTGTTACACTAGGTATCTTATATCGTTGCATAATGTCTCGTCATGGCTAACACAAGTTTAGTAAAGTTACAAATACTTGGACCAAAACGTTATAGAAATTTGATTCCAACGGTAATAAAATACAAAAAAATGCTCTGAATTTTGATATCGCTTCTCTCTCCTATTTCCTCCATGTATGGTCCTAATCGTCTACCATCGCCGTCGCCATCTATCATCGTTGTCTCTGCAGTGAGTCACCGACGTTATTGTCGTCTTCCCTTCTTTTTACTCTTCTATCTACTTACTATTTATCTGAAATTTTGATTTTGATTTTTTTTAATACGAGAAGAATGGGAGAAGGAAGAAATGCACAGAGAAGAAGAGCAGAAGACTCGGATCGGTTCGGTTCTAAATCGGGCCCAGCCCAAGTTGAGCCCACTTATATGTAGTCCATAATATTTGGTGGGCCTCTGTGTTTATGGACCCTGAGGTAGAGAGTTGTGGGCTTTCTGGTCCAGTTAGGAAAAAGATGGCCCAAAAATCAATTAATATCAACAATATTTTATTAAAAAAGAAAAATAGAATAATTAAAATAAGGCCAATGGACCTGCCGCGAAGTCCAGTACCCAAAAGAAGGAAAAAAAAAAAAAAAACCCAAAATTAAAAAAAAGAAAGAAAAGAAGGAAAGTCTTCCCCGAATCCTTATCTACGAAACTGAGTCCCTCTGCTAAAAACTAAGGTCCAATTAGCTTTCTCGGGTTAGTTTTGAAGCCCAATCTCCGATTCTCCTCTCTCTCTATTTCGGTGCTTATTTCCAGGCTCCATCGCTTGCCGGACCGGAAAGTCAAGCCAGGGCTAGACCAGACCAGCTCGGGTCTCTGTTCGTGGATCTCATTCGAAACCACGGGTAAAATCCGAGCTCTTTTTCTGACGATTTTGAAATCGATGAAGATTTTTCCTGTTTTCCTTGACTGTATTCACTTTCAGTTTGATGGAATTTCGTCTTCTGGAGTTGTTGGTTTCTGAATTGTGCTGTGTTGTTTTGTTTTTGTTTCTGGTGATTTCGGGATGGGAAATTTAGGTGAAAGTCTTCGTTTCTTCTTCTGTTATTTGTTGGACTGGAAATGAGGTTTTGTTTTCGATAATTCTGTGTTCAAAATTCAGTGTTTGGTGGGTTTTTCCATTAAAACCTGGGTAGCTGGGCTTGAAATGCCCAAATCTTCTTCAAACCCTAGATCTGAAAACTCGTCTCTTTCGACTACTACTTCCTAGCCCATCTTAGATATATTTTTTTTTATTACCCATTTTAGCCTCACGGTTCCTCCATGTGGACTACCGTGATTCGGGTGAAATCGCTCAAGTCTGAATTGTGAAAGTGGCTCTAGGTGGGCCGAATGTCTTTTCATAATAATTTGACCCGGTTTTCTTTAGTGGGCCCGGGCTAAGCCCATTATTCGGGTTGGAGTTGGGATTTGTTTCTTGTTCAACCTTTTTTTTTTCTAAAGACCTCTCTCTCTCTCTCAAGCCGCCTCTAAAACTGAGCTGCCGGTTGGGCTTTGGGGACTTTCACAAATCTGATTGATATGACTATAGAGACGGATCTTCTTCGGTTCCCTATGCTTTCTGGGTTTGGGAAAATGGTATTTTTGCCTTTACTCTTGTTTTTTTGGGTTCGAGTCCGACTTACTAATGTACCCATTCAATTCTGCCCGCGCTTGTTTCGTTCGGACCTGGGTTCGAATCCGACTTCCTAACGTGACAAATGGGCACATGGTTTATTTTGTTGGCGTCTCGATTGATTTCATTTGCTTTGTCTATTGAAATAGCGTATTATTCCACTCGCTCAGACTTCAGAGTGGGATTCTATCGATTATGCCTTCGATGCTTCATTGGCTATGTCTAGTTTATATTGTTCTTACCACCCTATTTAATTCATTTGATAAGGGTAATGTAATAATAAACGGGTTGGAGGGAATGCATTGTGCTCACCTACTTAGATACGAGTTTTCTTGGCAAACAAATTTTGTTGGCCATGCAATTTGATCCATGACTCGTGTTAAACATATATGGTATCATTTTAACTTGGTCAAATACCCATATTTCTGCTTTAAGAATGAGTGCATTCGATGTTTGTTGATTTATTTATTTTTACTTTGCTGCACAGGAAATTATCTTCCCATACGAAATGGCAACTCCTGATGAAGAAAACATGGCAACTCCGGGCAAAGAGATCGTGTTGGTTCATCATGATGAAGACCATAATATGACAACTCCAAATGGTGAAAACATGATGACTCATGAAGATGAATTAATGGAGACTCCTGATACAGATAAGCTGGGATCACCAGATGAACCTAATGAACTCGCTTTAGTCGAAGTACAGCCTAACAAGAGGAGGAAGAAGAAGTCTATTGTCTGGGAACACTTCACTATAGAGTCTGTGAGTGCTGATTGCAGGCGGGCGTACTGTAAACAATGCAAGCAAAGCTTTGCATATAGTACAGGATCGAAAGTTGCGGGCACTAGCCATTTGAAGAGGCACATTGCTAAAGGAACTTGTACTGCACTTTTGCGTGGTCAGGATAAGAATCAGTTGGTGGCTACATATACCCCACCTTCAAAAGGGACTGTTAGTGATACACCAAAAAGACGGTATCGAACTTCTAGCTCGCCTTATGTTATGTTTGATCAGGATCGTTGCCGTCAAGACATTGCCCGGATGGTCATCATGCATGACTATCCACTTCATATGGTTGAGGATTCTGGATTTGTATCATTTGTCAAAAACCTTCAGCCTCGATTCAACATGTTGAGCTTCAACACTGTTCAAGGGGATTGTGTTGGAACTTATTTAATGGAGAAACAAAATCTAAGTAAGTTTATAGAAGCTATCCCGGGACGTATATGCCTTACCCTTGACATGTGGAGCTCTAGTCGATCAGTAGGTTACGTGTTTATTATGGGTAGTTTTATTGACAGTGAATGGAAGTTGCATAGACGGGTTTTGAATGTTGTAATGGAACAATATCCAGAATCACCTAATGCACTTAGCCATGCCGTTGCTGTATGTCTCTCTGATTGGAGATTAGATGGGAAGTTATTCTCTCTTACGTTTAATCTGCAGAATGAAGCTGCCCTTGACAATCTCAGGCTCCTAGTTGCCATTAAGAACCCCCTTATTCTCAATGGTCAATTTTTGGTTGGAAGTTGTATTGCCTGGACTTTAAGCGACATTGCAAAAGATGTATTAGATGCAGGAGAAAATACAATAAGGAAAATTCGGGATAGCGTGAAATACGTGACAACCTCTGATTCTCACGAGGAAAAGTTTTTAGAGCTAAGGCAACAACTTCAAGTGCCAAGTGAGAGAAATCTCTCCCTTGATGATCAAATGCAATGGAATACAACCTATCATATGTTGGTGGCTGCTTCAGAGATGAAAGAAGTATTTTCTTGCTTGGGTACCTCTGATCCTGATTATAAGGAAGCTCCATCAATGGAAGATTGGAAGTTGGTTGAAATTCTCTGCACATACCTGAAACTTCTTTTTGATGCAGCAAACATCCTTACCACCACAACTCACCCAACTGCTATTACCGTCTTTCATGAAGTGTGGAGAATTCATTCGGAGTTGTCTCGGGCAGTAACGAGTGAGGATCCCTTCATAAGCAACCTTAGTAAAAGGATGCTAGAAAAGTTTGATAAATATTGGAAAGATTGTAGCTTAGTCTTGGCAGCTGCTGTAGTGATGGATCCACGGTTCAAGATGAAGCTTGTTGAGTTTAGTTTCACCAAAGTCTATGGTGAAGAAGCTCCTGCATACATTAAGGTTGTTGATGATGGAATTCATGAGCTCTTTGATGAGTATGTGGCACTGCCTCTACCCTTAACCCCAACCTATGCCGAAGATGGAGGTGCTGATGGTAACATGAAGGCAGAAGATTCCCAGGGAAATCTTCTGTCAGACAATGGATTTACAGATTTTGATGTCTACATCATGGAGACGACTAGCCATCAAACGAAATCAGAGCTCGATCGGTATTTGGAAGATTCTTTGTTACCCCGTGTGCAAGACTTTGATCTATTGGGATGGTGGAAATTGAACAAGTTCAAGTATCCTACTCTTTCAAAGATGGCTCGTGATATCTTGTCTATTCCAGTTTCTTCACTTCCTCCCGACTCGATATTTATAACCAAAAGGAAGAAATTGGATCCGTATCGAAGCTCCTTGCGTCCCGAGACGGTGGAAGCGATGATATGTTCCAAGGACTGGATGCAGTCTGGATTAACTGAAGTGTCTAATGCCCTGGTAAGAATGGAATATTAGTCTTTGTTTAGTTAGTTCTGTTTAGCTTTTGTTCATAAGTTGCTATGTGACATCTCTCTTTAGGTTCTACTTTGGTATTAGGTTAACAGTTCTTGTACCATTTAAGGCAATTGTAATTCATCCTTGAAACTAGATTCTAGAAAATAGTTTTAACTCTGTGATCATATGTACTACTTTCTAGGAATCGTTCGATACACCTTGTTCAAGAATTGCCGTAAATTATTGAGCTAATGTTGTCTTATATGTATATCACATGCTTCATACATTTCTCATTTGGCGTCTCATGGAATTCATCTGTCGAACTACGGGACATGGAGTTAAAAAAAAAAAAAAAGACATTTTTACATATTGACCTCCATAATTATGATATTATATTATTACATCTCATCATGGTCTAGGATGAATTTAGTTGATCTTTTTTTGGAGGAACAAATGATGATACAGAAAACCTATCACATCAGTTCGACGATGACTCGCCGCCGTTCACGGACTAGCTGTACCCACACCTACCTTTTCTTTTTTTGGATCAATATAAGCAATAACTCAAGAATCCCATCGTTTGAGGCACTAGAAAAGTTCTCCATGTTAGATTATCTTTAGGTCATGTTTGCTATTAATAAAAAATGTGGCCCATGGATAAAGAGAGAGCAATTAAGAAAACTAGTTCACTTAAATTGTATTCAATCAGTAACTTAATATTTCTGTTATTTTAAGGAAGAAGGTTCCCAAAGTTGTCTAATTATTGATAAAATAACATAAGAAAGTTATTTAGATTCCATACGGCACCAAATATTTCACGACTCCATCCCAAAACAGAGGCAGACGGCAGAGCTTTGTCATGGTCGAAAGGAATCCTATAACCGGCTGCCAATGGTACGATCGGTAACAAAACAACACACCGAAAATATTCATAACTCTATTTTAACGTCGTGGACTTTGAGTTCGCCTTCAGGCATTTTGTCAATTCCGAAAGTCACCAAACCGGACTCAGAATCATAACCAAATTCAACAACGCTTGAATCCACCGTGCACCGCCGTGGCTTTGCCGACGAGTACGCTCCAAACCGCCCACGCCCTTTCACTTCCAAGTGAACAATTCCGCCGTCAACATCCTCAGCCCCACCTTTTACTTCGTATTTCAACCCTTCAATTGCACCACCGGCGTTGAACATATCAATGAGTCCAATGGGAGCGAAACTGAAGCCAGGGGCCAAAAGTTTGATCGGAGTAATGGTGAAGATGTCAAACTCAAGGACTTTAAGAGAAACGGGGAGTGCTGAATTGTAAGGTAGATTGACGAGGTCACCGGAGCGGTAGCAGTAGAAGGCGCAGTCGCCATTCCAGCCCGGATCCGCTGCGGCTTCAGAAATGTGATGAACATCACGTCCTTTGACGTAACCAGAGATGGCGTCGGAGTTGGTGTCGTGGAAAGTGTTCCTTCTTTCTTGGCTGTTCCAGGCGGCCCCTTGGCAATTGTAGATGCCGATGACGCCAGTGTGCTTGTTCAAATTCCATATCTTTAGCAAGCTGAGAGTGGTACGAAATTCCAAAGTCAAATTCTGGTGAGAAAATGCCGCAAACTATTGAATGATATCCCTACTTTTTTTTTCTTTTAATACATTCTAAAGCCGCCAACATCATTATCTCGAAGGCATAAAAACAGCCACGAAACTCCATGAAATTGTGGGTTCCATTCCCATAAAGTGAAGGGGGAAAGAGAGGAAGTCAAATCCAAAACAAAAACACTCACCTAACGCCGTCTCGTGCTGGATCTGAGAATAAACAGTCCCTCGTTGGCCGCCCGGGCAAGCGCGCTCTGAGCACCGAGCCATCAGGCAACACTAGTTTCTTTAGAAGCTCGAAATTGTGCTTCCCCGGGGCATCACTGATGGCAAAAAGAAAGTAATATCAAGATTAACATGTTTGAAAGTGTAAATTCGATCCTAAACTTTATAGTTTTGCACCAAGTTCAAATAGTTACCTAAGCTTTTTTATTTTTGGTTTTTTTCAACAAATGCATAGTCAAACTTTGACAAATGAAGAATATAATAGATGCTTCATCGATTCTGCCTTATCAATAATGCTACCTCAAATTTTATATGTTAGTGTCTAACATCTCTAAACTTTATTAAAGAATGTAATAGATTCGACATGATAAAACTCCCCAAAAGATTGTCTAACTTTACCACTTAAATGGTCCTTGTGTTTAATATAGATATGATTCCTATTATTAACTCATATTGGTTAGCTCAACTCGAGCACTTTTAAGCAGGGATCCTTTTCTAGATTAAAATTTTGACAAGATTATAATGATTTAACAAATTGTAAAGCATGTTTTGGCTTAACCAGTGAGACACCAGCTTCACTACATGGATCTCCTCAAAACCTAAGAAATTTATGAACTCATGAAAAGAATTTGCGGCAGAAAGAAAGTATACTTAACTTCAAATCTCAACAAATTGAACAAATTGACCAAAGACGAGTGATGGTCTAACCTGACATAAACAGGGCCACCGCTAATGGCCCTAGCGGAAGCGTGGTACTCGGCGGCGGGATGAAGGGAATGGAACATGTCCCAATCAGGCTGCATAATCTCCCCAAGAAAAACGCTGTTGTAAGCCACTGCTGCGATGTGGATCGTATGTGACACCGGATCTCGGGGGTAGAAGTCATCGGAAGCTCTTACAACCGCCGTCTGTTTCGCACTGAAATTAAACGCAACCACAAACCAAAGACGTTTCACTACATTTTGCCCAATTCCTGAGCAAATCAAAACAAAATTTCAACAAGAAATTGTGAGTTTCTGTTTACTAACCAGTAAAGTGCATCTGTATTGTGGCTCATACACGCAATGATGTCGTTGTCTGCAAAATTTTTGGCCACCGACGCGTCCAGAGCCTGGTGATACTGCCGAGTCAACTCGACTCGACCGCCGAACCCAGCGCCTAGAGTCTCCAATATGCACTGTACGTCCACTTTGACTCCGTCGATTCCGGCGGAGGCGAGATAACTATGAAGTTCATTGTAAAATTTGAAAATGTTCTTAGGATTCACCAATCCCAGTCCTTGCAGAGCCAATGCGTCGTTCTTCCATGTTGGCTCATTCTCGGTAACGCCCTTCGATACCTTTGGATACTGCATCAACGATCCGTAGTCCTCCATATCCTTCACGCCTGTGCGAAGTCCTCCCCAATACCCAGTAATCGCGTGCCATACGTACACATACTTCAGTCCGTACTTGTTCTTGGCGATCTTCGCGATGTTCTTGATCCCTTCCGTCGGATTCTCCTTGTTCTGGAACTTCGAGTTCTCTCTGATTCCCGTCAGTCTCTGCAATGGCGGCTGCTTCGGCTTTGTTTCCCCTTCTTCCTCGTTCTCCTCCTGCGGATCACCGCCCACCGATTGCCAACCGTCGTCGATAATGACGAACTTCGGCGGCGTATCGCTGGAGGAGAGAGACTCCAGTCCCGCTTCGACGCCGTCTTGAGTAACCTCCTGGTAGAAGGCGTCCCATGTACACCAACCGAAATAGTCAACTATTGCAGGCAGTTTCTTCTCTTGCCGCAATCGAAAAGTCTTGAGGTGGAGTTTAACGGCTCTGACCGCGTCGGCGATCGCGTCAAACGGATCGGTTCCGGCGTGGATGAACAATGCGTGCGTAAACGACGACGCTTTGGTGTCTGCATCACCACTTTCTAGGCAAAGCTCGAGCTCGTCCTGTCCGTTGCCTTGAAGACAGGCTCTGAACGAACCTTCGATCAGAGGGAGAAAAACTGTGTATATGATCTGATTCTCTTCGTTTCCATCGTCCGATTCAAGGTGGGACCCATCCTTCGTCTCCAGTAACAGAAATTGCGTCTCTAATGGAATCTCCTTCCCTTTGTCGCCCATTTTCTGGGCCATCCACCACAACTTGAACCGGAAACATGCCATGAACCGGACATCCCGTAAGGTTCCCAACGGAACCACCTGACGACTCTGCTCCTCCTCAAAAACCGCCCCAAGGAATACTCCTTCCACCGGTCCAGACGACGAACCGGACGTCGCGATTACATTATCCGGTACTCCCGTCAGGATCGTCCGGTCTTTCACGATGAGCTTCCGGTCGGAGATCCGGATAGCCGGTTTGATCGTCATTACTCCTGTTAATAAATCTCCTTCTAGTTCTTTTCCGTTTGAGTTTCTAGTTTGATTATTCGCCTCGCGTTTCTACATTTTCAGATTTGTACCGTCCAATATCAGATTACAGATCGTATGAGAAATCCGAAAATAGAGACTTAAATTCGTTTATCCATATCCAAATTAGTTCAGAGTTCATTTAATTAGTTTACCTTGAATGCTTCCACCGACAATCGCCGGCGCCTCGAAGATGTGCAAATTCTAAGATATGAAAACAAACGGGAAAATCATTATCAGTTTGAGAGAAACACGATTTTCTCCGGAAACAAACATCGAAACAAACAGAAACAGAAGAAAATGACGGAAAATATAATACCAGAAGAAGAGTCGTTCTTCCTTACTCTCAGCAGACTGAAATCAGAAGAAATCAACGACGGGAATGCAGATAAACGAAAGAAACGAGACGTATTTATAGTGAGAAATGGCGAATTAAACAACGAACGATTTAACACCATGGCTAGCGACGTCCTTCTTGTTCTAAACCTTTTCGTCTTCCAATGAGCTTACGTTTATTCTTTTTTACAGAATCATCCAACGGCACACAAATATCCGCCCTGGTTAATCGGTCACTTCAACGGCCGATGAGGAAGCCACGTTGATCCATGTTTCTCCAATAGAAGATCTGGATCCTTTAGAACACAATCCGCTAAAGTCACAGGGGGTTCACAGGTATTTCCGTCAAACCATACCCGAATCACGACACGTGGATTAAGCTAAGAACGTGGGATTCTGAATTTAACTAACGGCCTCTCACACGTGTTACTATGTGCTTGGTTGAGCCAATTAGTGTATTTTACTGTCGTGTTAATCGTTATCCATGTGCAATAATTAAATGTGCTGACCTGTCTCCACATACTCAAATTTTGTCGTCTTTTTTTGACAAAATTATGACCGTAGATCGTATTGTCATTCGTGATTACCACGTCACAGGTCATATAAGATATTTTACTCATCAGAAAATTTTCTTTAAAACTAATTTAAATTTCAAACAAAAATAACTCCAAAATAATTTCAAACAAAAATACGTAAATTATTTTTTAAATAACATGAAAGACAAATTTAATTATATATTTGATTAAGAGATTATAAATTTGAATTTATTATCTAAATAAAAAAAAATTAAAGTGGAAAGTAAAAAAAAAAATGTAATAATTTTTTAAAAAATATTCCAAAAAACAGGCCGACACCAAACTTTGTCACATATGTCGTAGTTTCTATGGGAGTATACGAGTTGGGGTAATTATCAAATTAAAAAATAGCCATTGTTTTTTCCTTTATTTTCATCTAAGCAACAGAAAAGTGACTGTGACATTTAACAAACCAATAAAATATTTTCATATAATAAGGTGAAATTTTTCTAATTTTTATATATAATAAGGTGAAAATGCATATGACTAAGCAGCCACGGTTTATGAGCCAAATGGCCACTACCTAATTTATAAAATTCATGCGTGGTCCATGCACGTGGTTGCTCACACGTGCACGGCTAATTGTGGTTGGAAAATTTTATACTTATTTTAATTTTTTAAATATTGAATACTAGTTATGCTAGTGCATATTTGCACAATAAGACTAAACTGAAGAGTTTATTTTATAGAGTTGCAAATTATTGAACATTTAAAATAATTTTAAATTAATGGGTGACTATATGATTGTGATGTATGTTTTATATAAAATGTTTTTGGTCTCTTTCGATGTCGGCTGGATAATAAAATTATTTATAGACAGTAAAAAAAGTGGACGATTGGGTTTATAATATTAATAATTGTCCAAATCAAAATCACTTGGATACCTTCCAACAAAATTATGAATGATTGATTTTTTTAATGCAAACCAAAATTCAATTTTAATTCGTAGAGTAAGTGATGATTAACTTAAGCGAAAAATTATCAAATTATAAACTCGAGTTGTTAATTGAAAACTATAGATTAAAAAAATATTTAACAATTTAAGTGAAAATTGGTCACGTTTTAAATATTAAATCCGAATAATTTAAATATATTTTTTTTATTATTATTTATTTATTGAGATTACGATTTTATTTTTAAATGCAACTTTTTTATTATTAAAAAATTATTGAAAAAATTAAAATTTCCCTTTTTGTCCCCGTGTTTTCCATATAATTATTTTTTTTTTTAAAGGAAGATTTATATTTTTAAGTAAAGGAATAATATGAAAAGTCGTTTCATTTAACTAAAAAACGTAAACTGTCGTGTCAATAAAAGAGATTTTTTAATAACTTGTTTGAAAAAACTACAGCTAAATCATGAATTTTATGAAAGTTTTTTAAATTCTTTATTTTTTATTATTGTTCGTTAATTCTTTTTTTTTTTTCTCAACTTTTTTTTTCACTTTTCTATTTTTTTAATGTTTTTTTATTCCTTTTTAAATATGATTTATTTTCTTTCAATTATTTGTGTTTAACATTATTTTCCTTTATTTTATAACTCTTTCTTCTATTATTTGTATTTTGTCTTTGGTTTTATTATTTCATTTTTAGTTATTTATTTTTTATTTTATTTCCAATATATAATTTTTTTTTATCTATAAAATATTTAATATATAATAGAAACGAAAGAAGAACACGATAAATTATAATAGATATATTTTAGGTTGGAAAAAGTGGAATAAATGAATTATATTTAATTTTTTAAATATAACATGCCATCTAATTATTTGCTATTACAAGTCTGTACAGTTTTATTTAAATTATTTATTTAATAATAATTATTAATATTCATGGTTAAATAAATTCAATACTCTAAAATTTAAGGTAGGTTGTTTATAATATACTTAAATTTACAGTTATTTAATAATTTTGACTTAATAAAAATAATCTAACTAACATTAATTAAATAATTTTATAGAAGTAATTATTAAAATTAAATAAAAATATTATTTATTTATTTATATGAAATTCTAATATTATTTTATTCACATAGTTATTTAATTCTAGATTTTAATGATGGGAAGCATATTATGGGAATATACTTTTTACCATTTATGTATATTTAGTATTAATTTTTAGGTTTATCGTGTTGTTATATGTTTTAAATTTACATATAGTTTTATTTAAAAATAAAATAAAACCGATACTCTTATTTTCTTATACCTATGAAATATAAGATTAAATCTCATATATCTATGACACGTATTTTATGTTAGTTGAATTATATTATTGTGAAAAATGTTTTTAAATTTCATTGTATCAATCAATATAAATAAATATTTATAAATTTGACTAACAAATATTTACTTTTGAGAAAATATCATTCACTCACCTAATCTCTCTGAAAAAATTCAATGGTTAGGTAACAGTAATTTTCAGTACTTTACTTTTTCTTTTTCACTAGGGAATAGTTAAAACAGAAATTTTTTGAAGGATGGTTGAACTTGGAAGCGAAGAAAAGCCGACGGTAAGGGGCAAGGCTAAGCCAATGGTGATGGAACGGTGACGTTTCTTGGGTTAAAGGGAGTTGGTCCGTCCGCGGTTAAAAAAAATGTTCAAAGTGTGGGTCCCACCCTCAGACAAGTGGGTGACAAGTGGTTAACAGTGAGTGAATTACTCAACCATTTTTTTTGAAAAAGTAAAAAGTACTTTCCGTCTTAGACTTTATATTGCGGACCATCGTACCTTTCTTAAGACTCGGTTGTCGGGTAGTGGGCTGAAAAAGCTAACAAAAAAGGCCCACTACTCAACCCTGGGCCCTCCAGCCCATTATCACACTTTTGGTGGCGGCCGTCGGCCGCGAAGTCTCCGGCGGGGACCTTTTATTTGCTGCCCAAAAGTCTTTTGTGCCGATGGGAATCCACCATAATCGTGAGTCATCCAACAGGTATGTCTATGTCTGTTCAAATTGGGTTGAATAATTTTTTGGACCAAGTTGAGTTGAGTTAATTGGACTGGTAATTCAATCATCTATTTTCGGGTTTAATGTTTTTTAGAAAAATTTTAAACGACAAAGATTGTTGTTATTGCATATTCAAGAAAGACAACTTTCGACCGGTTGGGTGGATGCTGATGACTAGACTATAGACATATGCGATTGGATTGCTGTTGTAAGTGAATTTGCTTACCTCACAAACCGAAGATATAGTGGGAAGATATGACTTGCGATTTTGCAAAGGGGTGCGATAGTAGGCAACAAGACAACTTTTATATATATATATATATATATATTTTCAGTTCGGATTGGGACAAATCGACCTTAAGTATACTAAACTTGCACTAGACTCAACCCATTTGTTCCCTATAAAACAAAATCTATCCTTACCTCGTAACCTATCTAATCCAACTCAACACTGATACTTTAGGTTTGGTCGGTTTGAGTTGTCTATTTCATTGTACATCCTTAATTTGTACTTTACTAATATATGTATAAAAAAAAAAAATATATATATATATATATATATATACACGTATATTGATAGTCAGACTTTTTTTTAATATTTTTCTATAAAAAGTTAAATTTTCAAAATTTTATGGATAAAAATTATGGTAATAATTTTTTAAAATTTTTTTTATAAAAAAGTTATATTAATATATATATATTTTAAATTTAAAAATATTTTTAAAACACGTGACAATGACCAAATTGAACCGAAGTATATCAATTGTATTCCCCGCCATCTGGCCATTCGGACGCGTTTTGGCGCGAAATTTCGGGTTTTCATTCTTTTCTTCTTCCCATTTCAACTGAGTAATCTTCTTTTATCCACCGTTCTTCACTTCGCAGCAATGTCCGTTATCTGAAACCGTGTCGAAGAAATTAATACGCTGAATTGTTTCTGGAGTTAAAGCAAACAGCCACTTGTCTACTCAACTCATTTACAACTCCAACAGGTTTCTAATACTAATCATACTTCAATCGAGGCCGTAGCGCAATCTTAGACATAGCAATGTAAGGATTACTTCGATTCATACTTTTCATTGGTTGACTGCTTTCTTCGAGTTACTGAGTTGCACTTCTTTTTTCTTCTTATTTAAACTCGGTTCAGCTGTTTATCGAGACTGCGAGTATCATGTAGTTGATTGAACTATAATTTTTGGGCCTATTACTTGCTTGCTTTCAATAGGCTGATTCCCTGGAAGCGTTCCTCTGTTAAGGAATAAGTGAATTGAATGGGTGGTTTATCTTGCGCCTTCCATTATCATTTTAGGGCATCTTCTAAAGTATGAACAAACACTATGAACACATTGCACCGTACTTTGTTCAATATATTGTATCATTAATCATAAAGCAGGTTCACAATATCTCCTCCGCTAGTTTTGTCCAAGGTATTCATTGATCTGTTTCTATTGCTTGTTTTAACTGTTTCTATTGCCTTGAACACAATGGAATTCTTCAGCAATGAAAATAGGATTTTCCCATATGATGCATGCCAAAGGTCATTTAAATCTGTCTTAGAAGAAGTCCAATTAGAGCTAGAAAAAGTGTCTGCTAATTATGATGATGTTATGT